AGCCTGGGTGACATCTAAGGCTTTTATTCTGAAATGCGACATTACCTTAAGCAGTGTCCTGCTTCTGTTACGGTTCCGACATCACCTCCGAAGGTGGAAACCGACACAGATAATTTGATCAGGAGAACCAAAACAGAAGCTCGGTTCGAGAATGTTAGAGAGGCGGGATAGAAAGAGTGGGTGAGCCTTCCAGAAGATTTAAGCGCCACCCCCAAAGTGCACCCCCTTCCTCCCTCACCTCCTCATCTTGCTTTCTTTCCTACCCGAGGCAGAACAGAGAGCACATTCCTCCGAGTCAAGGTCACCGCGATGAGGGAGGCGGGAGAAAGAAGTTGGGTGGGGGAAGAAAACACCTGGGAAACAGTACATGGCTACATGTTTCCCCTCCTTCGCCCCTCACTCTGCCTCATGCTGCTGCACAAATCTGCAGAAGCCCTGTTCCAAATTTGGAAAGTTGCATAGTGTTGAGGAATGAAAACAAAACGTGCAAAGAAAGAACACGCAGAGGCTCAGAGCTCAAGCGAAGCAGTTGATGTCACAATACAAGCCCACCTCACTTTGGGAAAAAGAAGCATGTTCAAGTAAGCCAGTTGTGGTCCCAATAAAGAGGAACCTGAGGCTCAGAGCTAATGCTAACCAGTCAGCGTAGTAGAAAATAAATGGCAGCTTATTGAATCTTGTTGAGGAATCTCAGCGTTCATGAGTATGAAAGCAGTATGGTAACAATTCAATGAATCGTCTTTATTCATAGGTCCAATTGGAAGAACCTGAGGCTCCGAGCTAAACCTCCTGAAAACTCAATCCATGTATAACAAAACAGTCGGCTTTTGATTTGGCTTGAAAATTATGACCGCATTTTCCAGTCATTGTCTTCACCAGAAAAGTAAATATGAAGAACCTGAGGCTCAAAGCTAAAGCTAACCAGACAAACAGCGGCCTCTTGATTTTACTTGAGAAATCTCAGCAAAATAGTTGTCAAAAATTCATTCCAATTGCCAAATATGAGGAAGCTGAGACTCAGAGTTGAACATGTCAACATTCAAACAAAGCACAAGCCAAGTAGACATCCCTCCCCCATATACGCTACATATACAAACACGACCCTTCCACCTCTCCTTGGGCAAGTGCAGCCAAATGACTCGACTTGGCTCAGGAGCGTAAATGTTGAGTGCTCGGCTCCCTCCACCGAACAAAGATGAGCTGGAGCTGCTGTTTTCTATTCAACTGATGAACTGCTACATTAAATCCTGGGGCCAATTTCAAAATAAAACCTGAGCTGACATCCTGGGCTCTGTTGGAGCATTTGGCTCGGTGGAATTTCAAAATAAAAGTCAGTGGAAATCACATTTGTAGCCTTGAGCGGCAGCTGGACTAAAGATGTCACTCAGGGAATATGAAAGCATTGCTCTGGGGTTGATTTCAAAAATAAAATCCCCAGAATGAGCATTCTGTTGAGGGAATTTCAAAATACAAGCTAATTGAAAGAACATTAGACTGTGGGACACTTGTGGAAATACGCCCCCCC